ATATAAAATGCCTTCCTTGGAGCACACACATCCCATCTGTCATAAAGATGGGCAGTTTGCTAAAGCATCACTATCACTCATTTCTTAGCAATGTTCCTGTGGAAACAAGCACTGAAACCTAGCACAGGTCTAGGCCATGAGGAAATGTCTCTTATAGAGTTCTTGGGGATATAGGAAATGGGATACCATCTGGAGTAAAGAAGGAGCAAATCCTTGTTTTTCTAGGGACCCCACGGGAGCTGGTATATCTACCATCAGTGGTGTCCCTTTACTTTCTACTATATATGTGAATGGCAGCCACAAGCACAGGGTTTAGGTATTAATCTGGCAGCTGCGGTGTGTATGGAGTGTCAGATACTATATTGCATCATGCTGGTAGGGCACTCTGCTGGCTTATGCGTAAATATAAATAGCATGTATCAGTCATTTACAACACAACCCTGTGCATGCTATAGAGAAGCAGGCCCTACTGTGTCCAGTATTGTTCTCAAATAAGTTTTCTTAGGAGTTCACATTCATGAGCTGTGTAAACCTCACAGCTTTGCAAGAAAGGTCAGTTCTATTTTATTATTTCAAATGTTGAGTTTTAAAGCTGAAGGTGTGTAGTAAATTTCTGGCAAAGACCAGACTGAAGCAGGAATATCCTACTGTGTATTCATAAGCACTGTGCTAAGCTGTCATTTTATGTTGTTTATTTACCTAGCCTTTCCAAAATATATGTTATAACATGCTGTAAACACCAGGACCCAGAGTAAACCCATTAAGCTGGTGGGTTAAGAATGGTGAGAGATTCAGGACAGTTGTGAGGAAGTGCATCACACAGAGCACAATGAAACTGTGGACATTGTTACTGCGGGTTGCAGTGACGCCTGCCACCTGAGATGATGTTAAAAGGGAAGTGGGCAGATTTACGAAGGATGATGCTGTCAATGGCTACCCTTCACGGCTGCTGTGTATTTCTTCCAGTTACCAGAAGAAGCATGCCTGTATATCTTAGTTGCTGGGAATGTGAGTGAGGTGGTGCTGTTCCCCCCCGCCTCCCCTTGCTTGTGGGCTTCCCACAGGCAGCTGGTTGGCTACTGTGTGAACAGCAAGCCGGACTAGGTAGTCCTTTGATCTGGTCCAGCACAGCATTCCTTATGAAGCTGTTGTCAGAAATAAATGCAGAGTATTAAAATGTGGTCCTAGCTGGTCTGGTTGTGAGAATCTTGCTGTGGTTTTCAGCTGTTTTCATCTCAAGTCACATCATGTACTTTATTTTCTGTTATTTTTGCTTTCCTGCTCTAAAATACCGTTCTAAGCTGCACCAACAATTGGATAGGCTGTCAGTCATACTTAAAAGAAATCGCTTGAAGAGATGATATACAGATTTCACTCATTTTCCCAGGATATTAAACTTTAATGGCTGTAGTATGAATATTTCATGACAGCATCTTTTGAATAGCTTGGTTTGTCCTGGAGGATATTGTACATTATAAGACCTGATTTTTGCCTAGGCAAACTGGTGAAGTGCTGGAGCATCAGCTTTTTTTCTGTTTGATTACAAGGAAAAGCACATTTTGCCACTAAATCTTCTATGTGTGTGCCTTGATATTTGTTTTTTTACAGCTCTCTGATTGAAACTATGTATCAGATATTATTCTTTACTCTTGCCACAAGGTGGCTAAATAGCCTATTAATACGTATTAAAAGGTTCTTCTCTATGGAGGATTAAGGATCATTGAAGTTTCAAGCTTGGTCAGGTTTGTTCTGTATTTGTCTGCTCCTGCAGAGGAACATACAGAAGACTTAGGTAGTCATCCAAAAGCCACAGTATGACAATACTTTGTTTCGGCCAACTAAAATGTCACAGAAGAGTGAACAATATTTAGAGTTCTCCAGAGTTTTGGAGCTCTGAGATAGAAGTGAGTCTTCGCACAGAAATACATTTTTAAATTGTTTTGGGCAGAGAAGATTGTTGGTATCTTGGAATGAAGGTGGGGGGGGGAGAGAGAGAGCACGCTGTGCTTTCACTTCTCTCTTTTATTGTTGATACCCTAAATTGTCTCGAAAGTCCTGCTCTTTCATGCAATTCCATGTTCTAATTTACAGGGTTTTATGCACAGATATGTTAAGGGATGCAATTACAAACAGTGACCTTGCTTTAAGCTGCAGTTCCCTCATTCGCTTCAGCCCTGGTTTACTGTTGTGAAAATGATTAAAGTAAGCACAAGAGGGGAGGGAGGTTTGCGGGGATTCTCAGTGGCATGAAGAGCCTTCATGGGTCCAGAGGTCTCTCCTCCAAATGTTGCCCTTCATGACCCTCCATGAGCGGAGGCAACAGAAATACGGGAGGGGTGGACCTAGTGCTCCTCCTCCTCAATGTTTACTTGAACTGCTTTCACAATGCCTGAAAAGGGCTTTTTCTTCCTTTCATTGCTGCAGCATGTCAGCAACTAGGAGCCATAATGGAAACCCTATTATGAAGGGTTATGCAGAACACTGGAAACCTCTGGGCTCTTGGAATCAATTGGAACAAAATGTTCAAGGCCTCAGTTACCTTTGATAGATGAAGACTTGAGGAGAAACTCCTGATTTCATCTGTAAGAAGAACTCTTCTCCCTGAAACAACCCTGCCCCCCCCCCCCCCCGCACCACCAAAAGCGCAGCTCCATATGTGCAGGGGAGAAATTGCTTAATGTAAATGAAGCATATCTTTTGCAGACAGATGCTCTGCTTTCTATGGAGATTTTAATGTGCATTTTCATTTTCCCTTTTATACTTTAACTTATTAACTCTGACAAGTAACCTCTTGGTTGTGAACAATTTAATTCACAATTCACTTTTTCTGATTCAAAGTGAACATGAGTGCCCTAATCCCCTAATGGGAATTAATTGCATGTTTCACTGCTTAACTCTGATCCTTTCTCCATCCCCACTGGGACAAGTTTCTTCCTGAAGGATCTGTGTTTGTTATTCAAAACACAATCTGAGAGGTAATGCTTTTTCTAGAGCAACTGAATATTAATGTTCTTTCCTTTGTAGGCAAACAAACTGCAGCCTCGAACCCATCTGATGCCATGAATGAGAAACATACAGACCTAAATGTTGATGAACTAATGGAGCAAAACAGTGTGCATTTTGAAAAGGCGGCACCACAAAAAAGGAGCATGTGGTCTTAAGGGGAGAGGCTTCAGTGTTCTGGGAAAATAGTATTCTCTTCTTCTCTTGGAAAGTAAATAACACAAGGCATGCTCCCTGGTCAAAGCAAGATGGCTAGTTTTAAACTGGCAGCTTCTGACAGGGTTCCTTTTCTTTAGGACTTTTAAATAGTGCATTTTGAACATGAAAGAAAACATTTTTGATAAACTTGCCTCCATCCTGAAAATTATGCAGGAAGTGCTAAGCTTGACAGCTTTTCTCAAGGCCACATATTTTATTTTGATCCCACCTTCCTTCCAAGAAGTAGAAGTGGGCATCCATGGTGCTCTCACTCTCCTCTCTACATGTTTATCATCACAACAGCCCTGTGAGTAGGCATGGTGAGTTAGGGCTGAGAGCTAGTGAAATCACTAGCTCTTAGCCTGTGAGCTGAGGCTAGCTTATAGCCTAAAACTCTCCAATCCCCAGTGCTGGACAGGGACCTGGGAGATTTGGGCTCTAGTCTCCACTCAGCCATGAAGCTCTCTTTGGGCCAGGCACAGAGTCTAACCTACCTCAAAGGGTTGTTGTTGCAAGGATAAATGGGATGGGGAACCTTGAATTGCTCACAAGAGGAAAACAGGCATGTCATAAACATAATAATAATCACCACAGTGGCTCTCGTCTAGTAATTTTATAGCTGAGCAGGGAGCTGGACCACGACTGCTGGCCTCACACATACTATGCCAGTCATTTCCAAATGCATGCCATGAGGGAACTACTTGTGTAGCATGGTAAGCAAATGAATATTGAAAGGCTTGTGTGACACCTAAGTACACTCCAGCAGAGTCCTGCTGCCTGCTGTGCTTCTCTGTGTGATTCACAACTTTAGTTTGGCTCTTCCTACTCAGTCTCCTCTGAGGCTCTGCATGTATTTATTGCATTTGTATACCTCTCCACAGTAGTTGAAGCTCTCTGATTGATTCAGAAAGGAACTGATGTTCTTCGAGTGATCGTCTGTGCATGCGCACATATGGGCTCCGTGCCTGCAGGGGCCTGTTGTCAGGGAGATTTTCAAAGCTAAGCTCAATTTTTGCAGGAGCCCCATCCTCTCTCCCTCTACAATAAATAGGAAGGGCTCCCACCATTTTCCCCAGTTCAAAAGAGACTGATGTTTTGGCTTCAGAACTGGAGATGGAGGAGGAACGGTTCAGTCCACATCACAATGGAACAGAACAGTCTGTATAGGGACTGAAGATTGACGACACCACCATGGGGGTGGTGGGTGGGTTGTGTGAATGCACAGATGACTACTCAAAGGACATCAGTTACACGTAAGCAACTGTGCATCGCACACATTATTCTGATGGAATGCACTCTTGGTAGTTGCAGGAGCTGTGGTCCAGCGAGTTGCTGCATCAGTTTAATTGTCTCTATGATCCAGTTGGTAAGCTGCTGGGAATCAATGGGGTCAACCCAGACCATTCACTGTAGGCAGCAAAGAGTTTCTGGGAATGGCAAAATGGTTTGGTAAAGGACCGATAAAAGCCCAGGGCTCATCGAACAACGAGGGTGTGCAGGGCCGATTCCGTGGGAGTGGATGGTGTCGGGAAGAATGCTAGTAATGTCTTGGTTTAGGTGGAATTGGGAGGCAACTTTCAGCAAGAATGCCTTGTCTGGTCAGAGAATTGCCTTGTCTTTGTGAAAGGTAAGGAATGGTGGGTCTATGCATAGTGTGCATAGTTCACTTGCTTTCCTGGCTGAGGAAGGGCTCCCTTCCAGAAGAGAAAGCACAGTTCTCCAATGGCCAGGGACTTGAAAAGGGGATTCATCAGCACCTGGAGTACTACAGATAGACTCCATCCCAGTGCGATGGATTGGGTGGTGGATTCAGATTGGGTACACATTTAAGGAACCAATGGGGCAGAGAATGGGAGAAGATGGAGAAATCATTCCATGAAATGAAGAAAAGGCCACTAGGTAAGCTTTGATAGATGACAGTTTTGGTATGGAGTGAATGTAGGAAAGTCAGGATTTGGTAGATGAAGGCCTGGAGTGGATTGAAGGATTCCTTCTGAGTGAAGCCCAGAAAGCATTCTATTTAGAAACATATGAATGCCTTGTGTTTGGTTGCAGTGCTGCCTCTAAAATCAATTAGATTTCAGGATGGAGGTAGAGATCCTGGTCTACTTGCATATTCTCTGTCATGAGTTGATGTCTTGATGTCTGGATGACGGATCATTCCTCAATTCTGGGAGAAGATGTCCAGTCTCCTCAGCAGGTGGATGAACTCATGGTTTGACATGTGGAGAAGGTGGGCAAACCATGGTTGATGGGGGCACCATGGAGTCACTAGAGTGCAGTAAGTGTTGAGCCTTCTGATTTTTTCCAGTACTTTGGTGATCAGCGGGGAATGGGGGAACAAGTAGAAGAGTGTTCTGTCCCATGGCTGGAGGAACACGTCATCCAGCAAGCCTTGGCCAAAACCAGCATGGGAGCAGAAAACTTCACATGCCATATTCATTGGTGTCGCACACAGTCCATGATGGGGTCACCCAGGTCTCAAAGAGGCTGCATAGGATGTTCTGGTGAAGCTGCCATTCATGAATTGTTTGTGGCATTCTGCTGTAATGTTGGTGGTTCCAGCAAGGTGGGTGACCACAACAGTAATGCCTTGAGCTATGCACCAGTCCCATCTTTGCAGTGTAAGGCAGGTCAGGGAGGCTGACCGGGTGCCACCTTGTTTGTTCAGATAGAACACCAGCATAGTGTTGTCCAAAGAGATTTGAATGTGTCTGCCCTCAAAGAGCTGCCAGAATGCAAGCAACACTTTCTGGACCACTAAGAGTTTGAGGAAATTGATATGGTTCCCTCAGTCCCGCTCAGTCCACAGTCTTGGGTCTTGCTGACCATGCAGTGGGCTCCCCACCCTAAGAGAGGCGCATCTGCTGTTAGAGTGAGGGGTTCTTTTGAAGGTGTAAAGGCAATCCTGCCCACTAGGTTGTGCTTGTTGTTTCACCAGGAAAGGCTTGCTTGAATGGAACAGGGAAATACCAACAGTTTTTTGATCAAGTTGCACTGAGGCCCGAAGGCCTGGGCAAACCATAGTTGTAAAGGTCGCATCCCTAACCTTGCAAACTAGTCAACAGCCACCATGGAAGCACGTGGCCAAGGAGTCATTGAACTTGTTGAATAGTCACCCTGGGGTCAAGCTGGAGGTGGAGAGTTGAGGCGATAAGAGTTGTTAACTTGATCCAGAAGGAGGTATGCTTGGGCTGTCATGGAATCCAGGTGTTCTCCAATGTACAGGATCGCCTGGGAAGGGACAAGCAGAGATTTATCATCATTAGTGCAGAGTTCTAATTGGTCCAAAAGATTACAAGTTTCACGAACAGATCCCAACAGATCCTTCAGGGATGGAACAATCAGTAGCCAATCATCCAGGTATGGGAAGAGTCAGAACCCTTGTAGCCAAAGATGTGCACAAACTATAGTCATGCATTTGGTGAACAACTGTGGGGTTGTGGATAGGCTGAATGGTAGGACCGAAAGTTCAAATGCCTCAGTCCCAATTTGGAACGTGAGGAAGTAATGGTAGTCTGGGTGGACAGACACATGAAAATAGGTGTCTTTCAAATCAACGGATGCAAACCAGTCCCCTTGGTGCAGTAGAAAGAGATGCCTTTGAAAAAGAGACTATGTGGAACTTCTTGTGGGAAAAGAAGACGTTAACGTCTTGCAGGTCTAAAATGGGATGAAGGCTGCCAAACTTCTTCAGAATGGTGAAGTACTGGGAGTAGAAGCCGTAATTCAGGTCAGATGGGGGAATGGGACAGATTGCTCCTTTCAACAATAATGTGTTGACCTCGCCACTAAGGCTGGGGAAAGTGGTGTTAAGTGCACAGTTCTTTGTGGTGGCAGAGTGTCATGTTCAATTAGATATCCATTCTCCAAAATGGAAAGAACCCACCAGTCTGATGTTCTGGCATCCCATTTGGGAAGGTAGTTGTTATGGTAGCCTTTGACCTATACCAGTGCCAAGGGAGGTAGACTGCTTCACACAAGGAGTCCTTGCTAATGTCTCTCAGTATCCAAGCACTTTTTGCTAGTTTTCTGGAACCATGAAGACTGGGGGTACCAGGTCCCATGATTTCTCTGGATGGTATACAGATGACTCCCACTGACTGTACTGTGGGTCCCAGGGCCTCTGTTACCAAGGATAGCTGGGGATGGTAGTGGTGGGGCCCAGTAGGCTTCCTAGTCCCAAGTCACTGGTGGGGACCTGGTCCCTTATGTTGGCCAACAGGTGGTGCTGTAGGACAGAGTTGGTCCCATATGGTCCATATGGTGGTCCAGTGGCTGGATAAGAGAGTGAGAGTGGTGGTTGTTAGTGTGAGGAGCCAGTGGATCCAGGTGGAGACAGAGGTGGTGGACTGGCATAGATAAGAGGATGGTCTGTTTCATGTCTCCCCTTCAGAGGAGTGGGAAGTGGTCAGTTCTGCTTGTGCCATCAAGCCCAATGGAGGACCTGGCGTAGGAACCAGTGGTGAGTCAGCAGAGAGATTGGTTGTGGAGATAGTGTAGATGTGGTAGCCATGGCTGCTGGTGGAATGGGTGACTGAATGCACACTGATGGTACTGATGGTGAATGGTATCTGGACCATCTTGAGGGTTTTTCTTTACACTTTCTGGCTGCCATCTTAGCATGGTTTACCATTTTGTGGGACTTTTGTGTCTATTTTTTTGTCTTCTCATCACATGGGCACGTGGTTCTTGTGGGAACCAGTAAATTGGCTGGAGGAGCCCCAGCAGCTGCTGATGCAGCATGAGAGGAGGCAGAAGCCCAGGAGGTTGACAGGCAGTCCTGAAAGCTTGTGGTGACTGATTGTATCATCATCAGGGCAATCTGCACACTCTGGTCTTGAGTTGCCCCACCCGGTTCTTGGAGGCCTACCGGGTGAAGGCCCAGCAGTGGCGGCAAGAGTCCACTTGGTGGCCTTCGCAAAATAGGCAAAGAAAATGCCTGTCTATAGCCACAATGGACACATTTCAGGAAAGCTGCCTTGAGGGCCATTGGGAACAGGTAGAAGAAAAGAGGTATGTGGAGAAAGAAGTGGTGATAGGGGAGTTTACTGGGGGCGTGTGGATAAGAGTAGGTTAAAAAACAGTATAAAATTGAAGGAAAATAGGTAAAAGTAGAGATGTACTTGAGAGTTTAGAAGATTCTAGAAGCTGAAGGAACGTAGAGAGCCAGAAGCCCAAGGCACCCCAGATGATGGTCAGAAAAGAATTGGGGGAAATGGCAGGTGCCCTCCCATTTATACCAGAGGGGGAGGGGTGGAGGCTCCCACTGAAAATTGAGCTTAGCTACAAAAAATCTTCCCAACAAACAGGCACAGAGTCCATATGTTTGATCCACAGAGGCCACGGAGAAGAACAATGTATGTCGGTTTAATGGTTATGGTTTCTCTAAAGCATCCTGGGAATTGAAATGTGCTGTGGCTCCAGGAATTTTCTGATAGTAGTAGGTTCTTCTCTGGAACTAGAGTCCACAGAGTTCCTTGGGGAGAAGGGCATGGAGAAAATGAAGGGCAGTTCAGCTGAAGGAAGTCTGCAGTGCAGATACATTTTGAAGAGGTTCAGGGCTGCACTGTCTCTGCTCCTGGCATGGCCGGCTCTTTTCAAGGACTGCTGGTGCACAGAGGCAGCAAAAGTGCCCTCAGGAGGTGCTGTCAGTGTGGTCTCCCCATGTGTCATTGCTGGAGTTCAGAGGGAGGTCCCTTGGTGCTCAGGAGAGGTGCCTGGTGACTTATGCAAGAATGGAGGGTGCTTATTTTAGTAACGGCATTTTTATTCGGCAGTTCCTTGCTGTCTTACCTTCTCCGACAGTAAACCTCTTGGGCTGTGGCAAGAGTGAATTTTGCTTCCAATTTGAATTGGGAAAAATACTTGGCACTACATTCGCTCTAAATAAATGAAACAGACTTAAGGACAAGCTTTGGAGAGTTCTTTATTTAAGACTGTTTAATGACCCAGCATCTACAACTGAGGCCAGGTGTCCTGCCCACCTTCTGAAGATTCTATACATCTGGTAATTAGAGACCAAACTGCTGTGTTGGGGAAAACCAGAGGCCCTCTCTCCTAGCAGTTCAGTGACTGATAGCAAAATTTGGGAAAGCGTCAGATGTTCTGGGCTTTAGGTAGACAGAACCATTACAAAGGGAGGGAGGGAGGTGCAGCTGGGAAGCAGAATACTTTGAACAGTAGCCAAAGGATGAAATGGGAACCTTTTCATTATATTAGTAAATAGGAGCTTCTTTTGCCCTATACTGGGAAAGTTGCTCCCAAAATGGAACATCAAAATAGGCAGCCAGGTGTATTGCAAAGGATGAGCTCCTCACTTGTGCCAAAAGCTCGAGTCACAATCTGTGACAGACGCCACCCCCCCAATGAGAAACATCAAACATGCTGGAAATGGTGTGATGGAATGACGGGTAGATCTTTGGCAGAATATGTGCAGCACCCATTGTGTAAGGCATGTTAACGGTAACAGATGTGAATAAAAGGGATGGTGAATATTGACCTCTGCTTTTAAAAAAGGAGGTAAAATCTGTACATTTTGCTTGTTGCATTCGGTTAAAGGAAGCATCAGTAGTTGATTTAGGGAACTCTGTCCTCCAGCACTGCACACAACATACTCATCAAAACCATCAGAGAACTTCTGTTAAGGAAGAAAATAAACACCCCTCACACTGTGTCAGGTGTGAAACCTTGCCTTAAGAAGTACAGTGACTCCAAAGCCATCATGTTATTTAACTTGTTTATTTAATTTCTACATTGCCCAACAGCTGAAGCTCCCTGGTGGTTTAGAAGACTCTTGCTGTAGGCATGCCACTGCATGATGTGTCCAAATATTGTTGTGTGCCAGGAAAACTGGACACACGAATTAACATACCAGGCTTTTGTTCAAGGGAGCAGAATTTTCTAGTGCTCATTTCCCTTGTAAGTCTGCAATCCTTGCTTTTCAAGTCTAAATTAGCATTTAAGAATGTAATTCAGGAACTACAGTTACAAAGCTGCTTCATAACACTAAGTGCACCTGCCCCATACATTGTTTGTGAGACATGGGTGCCTGTTCACTCTTCACTTTACATTTTGGTTTATTTTTTCCCCCCTACAGTTGTTTGATGTGATGTTTGAAACATTACCTCTCAGTTGTTGTAGGGTTAAACAACCTACAGTTAGTAAACAAGCCATGAGTTGGTATTACATCTAAACTTATTTGATTATGTATAACTTCTTTTGTTTTTAAAGGAAGTGGTGCATTTGCAATGTAAAGAATCCTTTGGTGATGTATGGTTTCCAAGTCTACGTCTAGTGTTTCAATGAATATTCCAAACCTATATGTATATCACAATATAGTGTATTCCTCACTGCTTGTTTTCATCTCACTCTTTGACCAAAGGAGGTAGTTGTTAAGGAAAAAAAAGTATTGTTCTCCCAATAGTTAACAACAATAAATCATGTGTTATGATTTCTGTCCTGCTTTCCCACCCATGGTTCAGGGTGTGATGGGCATAGCAATCGTGACAGCAGGGAAAGTCAGAGATGGAAGGAAAGCCACTTCCTAAGCCCAGCTTAAGTATTCCCCCCCTCCATGCAGAGCAGTTTTCTTTTCCTGCCCAATGGGAAATAAATTAACCATTCCAGCTCTAAGGCTGGCATTTTTCCTGGGCTTTGTTTTGGCTGTGTCATGGGGAATATCAGGTCCTGCAGCTCCATGGCCACCCTGTTTCTAAATCATATTAATATTCAATTGGTAGAGGCAGGTGCATGGTTGGTGGTTATCTGAATGTCTGCCATACGCTTTGGTAATTATGAAGTCAAATGGAATCTTTGGGGACACTGATATTATCAGATCTTCCATACAATTGAGTATTCATATATGTGGCTGAATAAAAAATTGGGCTGTACACAGCTGTTTCTGAGTGGGCCCAGTCACACAACAGAACAGCCCACCGTGGTGAGGCTGTGGCATGTGTGGCCACCATTTTGAATATACAACCCCTACCCAGGAGTGGTTTTGCCACGAGCACCTGGCAAACATTGGTTATGCAAGAATTAAACACCACTTGCACAACTCAAGGTCTGTTCTAGTATCACGTAAGGGTTACTTAACTCTCATATAACCGGTACTTCCCAACTTTGCATACCGTAACAACCCCAAAGTGGGGGGTTGGAGATGAATGTTGGCACCCATGAGTATCATGACTCGGTATGGGTTAAATGATGTATATTTAATGTGGGCTAAACCTGAATGGCTGTCGAAAACACTCATGAAAACAGCTGCTTAGATTGGTCAGCCCAGCTTGCATACTAACTTTTCCATGCAGCTGTATAACCGCATACTCTGTGAGGAGGAGCCGAACAGTGCAAGCCAAACCCTCGGTAACTAGAATGGTGTCTGCTACCTACTTCATAAAAATGATCAGTTATTTTTTATTTTTTGCTATGGCCATGGTCTGTCTTTAGGCTTGTTCTTAACTGAAATGTTATCCTGTTACCCAGTTGGCTTGGTTTTAAGCAAGTGTGTTTATTTTTTTGCTGCAAGAGCTGCACTGTTTTAAAGAGCAACATTTGTGCAAAGTACAATGCATTATTAATGCTAAATTTTCTTTTCTTTCAGTCCCTTCAGTTGGAAGAATGGCCCGTGTCTTTGTCTATGGAACCCTTAAGAAAGGCCAGCCAAACTATCCACACATGATAAATGGAGCTCATGGGACATCCAGATTCCAGGGCAAGGGACTCACAGTGGAGAGATACCCCCTGGTGATTGCAGGGAAATACAACATTCCTTATTTGCTGAACTACCCAGGAAAGGGGCACCGTGTCACTGGAGAGATTTATTCTGTTGATGACCAGATGTTGCAATTCCTTGATGAGTTTGAAGGTTGCCCGGACATGTATCAGCGTACCCCAGTGAGAATTGAAGTAGTTGACTGGGAAGGGAAAAGCAGTGCCCCTGAAGGGAGACCAGCTGTTAACAGCATTCTGGAATGCTATATGTATAGCACTGCTACTTATCAGCCTGAGTGGATAAATCTCCCTTTCTATGACGACTATGATTCCTCTGGGAAACACAGACTCCCGTACGTGCTACGGGAAAGCAGAGAGTAAAACTGGGAAATGAAAGATAACTTCCAGAACACATGCAGGAACTGAATAAAATCTCTTGCAATTTATACTGAAAGGAGGCACTAGTATTTCTGATCAGCATCCAGGTGATTTCAAACAATTGTTTTAGAGTGCAGTCAGGGTTACAAACCCTAACTTTCTAGCTATGCGAGGAGAATAACAGGTATTTTGTTTTTTTTACTTTTTGAAACCACACTTCTTTATTTAAAACTTGATTAAGAAAACGTTTTTGTGCAAGGCAAATTGTGCATGACTACAATTTTAGCAGTGTGCTAAGGAGAGAAAAAAGTAGCTCCCTCAGTATAAACCATTTTTTTGGTTACTGCGCAGTCTTCACTGAAGCCAGAAAATTACTCTTTGAAGAAATCCATCAATCAAACGCTGCTACCCAAGAAAGTTCACTAATGGAATTCAACCAGCAAAGAGGTCCCCTTAACATCAAGAATGATCAGAGCACCAGCTTTTCATGATATTAGACACTCTTCTATTGTGGCAAACCTGACATTGTCCTGCAGTGGCAAATTCAATCAATGGCATTACGTTGCCAAGAGTCACTGTCCCCAGTTACGCCACGGAAGCGCCAGAGAAAGTTGTGGCATATAAATTGGTACCAAGGTGGTGGTAAGAAAATGTGGTATGGAGGGAGGTGGGAGTGTCTGTGGAGGGGGAGTTGTATTTAACTTTCCCGTCCAATGTCTTTTTACTGCTGCCTAACTGACTACAGGCAGTGAGTGCTTCCAATTGGACTGCTCCTATTGCTCCCAGTCAAAAAGCACGTTTAGCTTCTTTTGTCTTTACACATTCCATGGTGATCGCACAACAATGCCTCATGTGGAAACACCCTGAACTGTTGGGTGTTGATTAAGTGTCAGGTTTTTGAATTGCACATGAATCAGCACCTTTCCACTTAGAGCCCATGATGTTGAAAGGGGGAAAAGGCAGAGATCAGAGTATTTCTTTCTGATGAAAGAAATACTGCCACATGCACGCCCAAATCTTTGACCCTGACGGATTCCATGTTCTGAGCTGATTATACTTTTAAAAGAATTAGTACATAGGTAAGGCCTTGTTATACCACTGAAGTGCAAGGCAGTTCCTGATATGATTAAACCCACAATACTTCCCTTTTTTCCTTTGTATAATTATTCTGTTCTTTAAGTTTGTATATATGCAATTCCTTGACTATATTTGTTCTACTTTCTTGCCTTTCTCATCCCTCCTTATCTGCAATATTCTGTTTGTTCATTATCTTCCTTTCTTATTTTTCAAGTAATACATAAACTTTCACAGGGATTATTTTAATTATGCAATTGCAATAATAATAAAAATTTGCAAAAGTTGATGTAGTTTATGTATGTACACACACACACCACGTGCTTTGATGTTATTTAAAACATTTCACATTATGTTTTATAGCTGGCTATACTGAAACATTTTGGCACTATCATATTTTGAGTTAAATCTGGGAACTTTCAAACTGTCTGATGAACTATAATAGATCTGGGTGAAACTTAGGGGTTTTGACAGGGAAAGAGACCTGACAGTGGGGGTATGTTATCACCCTCCAGGTCAACTTGAGACCCTGGATGATGTCCTGACAGGCCAGATTCTAAGATATCTCGGGGAAGAGACACAGTAATTATGGGAGATTTCAATCTCCCGGATATTACTTGGGAGACTCACTCGGCGGTGACAGCCAGGTCACGTCGCTTCCTAGAAGCTATAGAGGGAGGGTTTTTCACACAGAGGGTCGAGAGGCAACGAGGGGGGAAACATCCTTGACTTGGTCTTGACCAATAGGGAGGAGCTGATAGATGAAGTACAGATTAGGGGAGCTCTGGATGCGAGTGATCATCCTTTGCTTTGAGATCAGGGGACTGGGGACGTGCAGCAGGTCGAGCACTAGAAGCTGGGACTTCAAGAGGGCCAACTTTGGCCAACTGAAGGCCAGACTGGGGAAAGTCTCCTGGGATAGGTTACTGGAAGGTAAGCGAGTTGAGGAGGGGTGGATAGCACTCAAAAGGGAGGTTTTGGAGGCGCAAGCCTTGATGATACCTCTAGTCAGTATGGTGGGGAGGCAGAGGAGAGTGCCGCCATGGATGCGAAAGGAGGTGGTTAGAGGGATTAGATGAAAGAGGAACCGCCGCAGGAAATGGGTACTGGGGGAAATAGACAAAAGGGTATACCAGGAGGAGGAGGCCCGTTGCAGAAGGATTCTTCGCAAGGCTAAGGCTGATTACGAGCTGAGACTTGCCAAGAATATCAAGAGCAACATAAAGGGCTTCTTTCAGCATGTAAATAAGAAGAGGAAGGGGAGACAAGTGGTGGGACCACCAAATAAGGAGGAAGGAGATCCAGTGACTGGTATGAGGGAACAGGCACAGATGCTAAACAACTATTTTGCCTCTGTGTTCTCCCCAAAGCAGGACGGGGGATATCCGCATAGGAGATTAGATGAGGCTGGGGACTTACTTAGGGGCACAGATTAGAGTCACCCCCCCCTTGAAGTTGAGGGGCTCCTCAGGGCATTGGACATTACAAAGATGCCAGGCCCTGACGGGTACACCTGAGAGTACTTACAGAGTTGGCAAGGGTTCTCTCATGCCCGCTGGCCTCCATTTTTGAGACCTCGTGGAGAATGGGTGAAGTTCCAGAGGACTGGAGGGTGGCATCAGTGGTCCAAATTTTCAAACAGGGTAGTAGAAGGGATATGGGGAATTATAGACCGGTTAGCCTTAAGTCCATTGTAGGAAAAACAATGGAAAGGCTCATAATAGAGAGAGATCTAGTGATGCTAGATAGGAAAGGGAGGCTGACAGCCACACAACACGGCTTCCGCAAAAACAGGTCCTGCCAGACAAACCTTGTGGAATTCTATGACAAGGTTTCGAGATGGCTAGATGGAGGGGATGCAGTGGATGTGGTATACCTGGATTTCAGCAAGGCCTTTAACAAAGTGCCCCATGATATCCTGGTGGAGAAACTGAGGAGTTTTGGGATACACCAAAGCACTGTCTGGTGGATTAGGGCATGGTTGACTGACCGAAATCAGAAGGTTACCATTAGCGGGAATCATCGGGCTGGTGGCCAGTAACAAGCAGGGTCCCCCAGGGCTCTGTCCTGGGGCCGTTCCTGTTTAATCTTTTCATTAACGACATGGAAGGAGGGGTGAACAGTCTGCTGATCAAATTTGCAGACGACACTAAAACTGGAGCAGTGGCCACAACTGAGGAGCAGGTACTCCAGATCCAAAGGGATCTGGAGAGACTATGGAAGCGGGCAGGAGACAACAGGATGGCGTTCAATGTGGATAAGTGCAAGGTCTTGCACTTGGGGCATAGGAATAGCTGTCATAAGTACAGGTTAGGTGACAAGTGGCTGGAGAGCAGCACTTGTGAAAGGGACCTCGGGGTACTGGTTGACTGCAGGCTAAACATGCGTCAACAGTGTGATGCGGTGGTCAAGAGGGCGAACGCCACCCTTGGTTGCATAGCCAGAAGTGTGGCTTCTAGATCAAGAGAGGTATTACTACCACTCTACAAGACTCTGGTGCGCCCGCAGCTGGAGCATTGTGTTCAGTTTTGGGCTCCTCATTACAGAAAGGATATAGCCAGGTTGGAGTCAGTGCAGCATAGGGCCACAGGGTTGGTGGCCGGTTTGCAGGGGATGGGGTATGAGGCGAGACTGAGGGAACTGGGTCTCTTCAGCCTGGAAGGAGACTCCGAGGGGATATGTTGGTGACATACAGGTATGTGAGGGGATGTCACATGAAGATGGGTAGAGACCTGTTCTCCCCTGCAGAGGAAGGCAGGACGCGCTCCAACGGAGAAAAGCTCATGGAGCCAAGGTTCCATTTGGATGCCAGGAAGCACTTCCTGACAGTTAGGACCCCGAGGGTGTGGAATGGGCTTCCACGAGAGGTCGTTGAGGCCCCATCGGTGCAGGTGTTCAAGGATAGGCTGGACATCCACATGGTGGGCATGTCGTGAGCGGAGCTGGCTGGTGCCGGAGGTCAGACTAGATGGCCCAGGAGGATCCTTTTGACCCGCTCTGTTTCTATGAAACTTAGAATAACCTTTATTGTTTTGTCTTTTCTTTTTCAATATCAATATTGAAATATTGATTAAATATAATGAATGGGATCTCCCTCCTATGGAGAGAAATACTCATTGACGGGGCCTCTGCCAGTTTTCAGGTATTCTTCTCCTTCAAGCCCATCCCATATAGCAGGTTCCACAAACCCTCCAAGTAGAATTTTCAGGAAGTGAAAAAGACTGCTGGGGAAAGATCAGGTGGAACATCGAGTTCTACTAGCCTGCTTGCTTGCATCTAAATCTGGATCCAACTCATTATCTTTTAGAGATCAACTCATTTTCAGTCTATAATAAGAGAGAGAGTGTCTGTCTGTGTTATAGGGCAATATGAAACCATTATACCTGAAAGTTGGCATTTATGTTAAGGAACAACCTAGGGGTGAACACCTCAGAGTTGTTCGGTTGTTAGAGTACATCCATGAATTGTGGATCTGTGTTTGTAGCTTGCAGTACCATCTCCAACCACAAGGTGGCAGATTTCCCTAACCAGTGCACAGTTTTGCTGTCAATACATTTTGAAGGGGTGAAGAGTAGGCTAAGGAACAGTTATGTTGCTGCTTCCCTCCCTCCTCCTATAAGGAAATGGAGTGGACAGACTTACTAACAGTGGACACTGACAGTGCATCATGGCAGGGATGGCTTCAGTTATATCAGATAGGCACAATGTGTCTAACTGTGACACCTGCATAACTTTGGTTGAAGACTGCTTTATCTAACCAAGGGTTACTCTAACCCCATATGAAGCAAGATTCATCACTGGTATGCAATAGGTGAACTTTTGAGTTACACAATTCTTACCCAGACTGGATGTTCAGGCAGGAAAAGGTATTTCTGGGGCTCGGCGATTACATTCCGGTCATCTGTGTCTACAGGCTGGTCTTAAGAAAATGAGTACTAATAAATTTGTGGGCTTAAAGCCAGCACTTCAGTTTATAGCAAGGTTCTCCAGCATCTACTAGAGTTGTAAATGTTAAAACTAGAAGAAGCATTTCTGCTTCTTGCACTATTCAAGTTATAAGATCCTTCAAAGTCACATTCGGGGGAGGGGAAGATAATTTTGAAAGCACACTATATATTAAACTTTAAATTTATTTTAATCATAATATTTTAATTGTACTCTAAAAGGCAGAGTAGAAATATATCAAATAAATAAATACTAAATTAATTAACTAAATTAATTATGAACCACTTCAGCCTAATCCATATATGCAGTGCAATGAGGTGAACGGAATGGGCTTATCCTTTTGGATTGCATGTGAGAACACCATTTGTGAGGAAGCTCTGCTCCAAATAAACAGAAAACCTCTCTGGAAAAGTTACACTCTCTGCTGTGCTAGTTTACTACTTACAGGGAGCATTCAGAGACAACAAAACGTTGTGAATAACACATACCATTTAAAAGGCAAAATGCTTAGCTTTATTGATGTCTCTCATATCAGTGGAACCACCAGTGAGAATTACAAATCTCATATATACAGGTGTTTATAAAGGAGTGAAATCTGCTCTAGAGGCAATTTTAATTTAAGTCTGTGCAGGTTAAAGATATGGCCCCTTGCCTCTTGTGCAACACAGATCATTAAAAAAAAGCAACAATTGTGTTCACATAATTCTCTTGCTAGCTTATCATTCATGAATGAATGAATGTGACATTAAAGTGTTAACGCGACTCTGGAAGAAATGGTTTCATTCCAGTTGCACAAGCTCATCGCCTTCCCCAACTGTTTCACCAGCTTTGCAGTACACGGCTTTCACCTGCAGAACAAAGGAAGAAAGCATCAGGACCCAGCAACACGTCTTTTTCATTTCAGTGGCTTTACAAGAAGAATAGATGGTGAATTAAAACAAATCTGGAAGCATCTTCTGGAATGTAATGAAAAACATTACCCACATTTTTGGTTCGTGCTTCCATTCCTCTCCAAAACACTGAAGGAATACTTATTTTGCTTCCATTGTTCACACACCCATATGGTCAGAATTTAAAGCAAGGACATACAAAGCAGGGTATCTTTTTTTAAAAAGGGTGTTTTAGATTTTTAAAGGGCTTTTTAACATATAGAGCAGGGGTCTCAAACTCGTGGCCCACGGGCCAATTGCCGGGATGGGCAGGGCACAGGGGAGGGGCCCTGCGGCCTTCAAAGCGCCGGCAGCACCCTGGCCGGCCTCCGGGAGCCACGCGGGATGAGCAGCCCACCACCACCACGGGGGTGGAACACTTGATGCGGCCCAGCCTCACCGACTCTACTTCCAGCGGCTCCCAGGTAAGTTGAGTTTGAGACCCCTGATCTAGAGTCTCTAGAATATTGGTGTGTTTGATGCTGGTTCAGTTTGTTCCTTAACTTTGCTGCTGTTGCTTCACATTTTCACAGCTGGATTTAAGAGGCAGCAACTGACTAATTCCATAAAAAAATCTGCAAGGAAGGATAAGTCTTACAGAACATATGTGATCACAAGTATGCTAGGCTAATGCAGTCTGTAAATATAGGAGAACAAGACTACAGGTGTAGACATGTTTGTAGAACATCTGTGCATATCTGTATGGCGCACAGGAGGGCTACTTGCTTGTGCAGTGTGCACACAGCCCCAGCTGAAATATGGAAGCAACCCCTTTGAGACAGCAGCAGAGGAGGATATGCTGTGGTCAAGTGGCTCTTCTCCTGGACTGGGCCCAGTAGGATGCTAGCTGCTAAACAAGTTGTATGGTGGCAACTATCTATTTTGCAACATGCTGTAGAGATGCTGACTGATCCATTTTGGGGCCGGAGTGGTAGGTGAAGAGAAAAAAAGATTTTATGAAGAATGATGCTCTAGAGTTATAAAACGCTAGGGCCCTACAAATGTCCAGGGCATGAAATTCTTTGACAGGGGAAAGCTGGCTGAGGAAATAAGGACAATACTAGGTCTCGATTCAAATTAAATTGATAAATGATCTTTGAAAGGAAAGAACAGTTTGGACAAAGCACTACCTTGCCCTTATGAAAACTAAGTAATGGTTAATCATGGCATCAGTTGCACAATTCATTCACTCTGGACAGTAGTAATAGCGACCAGGAAAACCATGTTCATGCTGACAGGTAAAATGGCAAAGCTCTAAGCATTTGGTCATTCACTGAATCAGTACTATAGACAAGATCCAAGGAAGAACTGGAGACACTGTTAATGGATAAAGGTTGATGAGGTGCTTTAGAAGACATTTTATGCAGGAATGCAAGTAGACTAGATATTCTTTGACATTGGTAGAATTTGCTAAAATTGCTACTGGATATATTTTAATAGAATAAAAGGACAAGCCCTTCATCGTTTATAGAGAAGTCCAAAACAGAAGTTCACATGAGGCTGGGTTCTCCTCTGGCAGAGCTACGAATGCCACTCATGCATTGTTAAAGGTTGTGTGAGCCTGTCAAGAGACTGTTATTGCCTGGTCTAAGAATTTGTCGGGCTAATTATTCTCCAGATTAGTTCCTGGCATGGGGACTGCAAATCTGCATGTATGATCATCTCATTGTGCACTGAAAGGAGATATGGAAAGAGTGGAGGGTGGGGGAACATGCAGGCTGGGGGAGGAGGAGGAGGAGGGGTGTGTGCATACCACACTTGTCTGGGCTGCCAGGTAATGAGCAGAATGGAATGAGCCCTTTTATCATAGATTTCATCCACCACTCTAATAAAGTACCAGGGAGGATGGAAAGGTGTACCTCAGGTGCGATCCGCAGTGGAAAAGAAAAGCATATACCAAAGATTTGGGTCATAATCAATTTTGATACAGAAGAGATGGCATTTTGTCACTGGAACATGTTGGCACAACCTGCAATAGATCAAAAAGTCTATTGTAGGTTGTGCCAGCATTTGAAGGTGTCTTGTGCCGTGCTTCAGGTAAGTTCCCACTCATGGGGTAAGTTCCCATTCTGCTGAAGGAATTGACAAAAGCATTAGATGTCCCCATGAGTTATATGGTGATTGAGGTGCCATTATATGCACATGGGTGGCACTGGGCTCCCCGGCCATGGAGAGATGGGTCCATTATAACTGCCATCATTGGGTGGGGTGCAACATTTGGAGCCCTGGCGAAAATGAGGTAATTGAGACCACAAATTATGACTGAATCTGAGAGTGAGAGGTAACGAACCTCTTTCTGGATCAAAGGTTTACAGGTACTAAGAATGCAGGGGTCTCATAAAGAGATAGGCTAGCTGAGTGACCTCGAAACCTAAATTGAAGGAGTGGCTAGATTGTGATTGCCTGACAACATGGAGCAATGGAGAGATTCCTTGTTATGAAGCAGAAGCTGTCCATCCTGTCTCTTGGGAAATACAGTGGTACCTTGGTTCACAAGCTTAATTCGTTCCACGATTTGGGTCATGACCCAACTTGGTTGCAAACCAAGTCAAATTTCCCCATAAGGTTCAATGTAAATAAGGTTAATCTATTCTGACCCCTACAAAAGTGGCCGTAAACCAGTTTTGGTTGCGAACCAAGTCAAATTTCCCCATAAAGTTCTGTGTAAATAAGGTTAATCCGTTCTGTAAATATTTTTTTAATCACATAATTTGAAACAAAGTAACAAAGTACAACGAAGTACCAAAGTACAGTACAGTACAGAACACAATAATTTACGTGCGGGGGGAGATTATTGTTTGGAGGGAGAGCACCCTCCATAATGACATTGGGGAGATCTCTTTCAGGGGTTTCCTCTCTTCTTTGTCTCTTAGCTGCAGAGTCAATTTTGGCAAAAAACCTGCACGTTCTGGTCACCTTCATTACCGCTCTGCACATTCTTTTTACCACCATGCTTGCTCTGCACTTTCTTTGGAGCCATCATTCAATATAATTATTGAATAATACTTTACAGTACTGTATGTGCTAACAAGCACACAAAAAAGCTTCACAGCAAGTGACCACAGGCCTGTCTGCAGCCATGAGCAGGGAAGATGACTGCGATCATGTTCATCACCTGATGCGGAGTTCGCGAACAGAGGCAAATTTTTTCTGAAATTTTTGGTTGTGAACCAATTTGGTCGTGAACTGAGGTGTTCATGAACCGAGGTACCACTGTATGCTTCAGCTTAAGTCAAATTGAGAAACAATCCAAGAAATCATCTGTTTAAAGACTAAGTGAAGTAGGATTTGTTGAACTGAATGCTGAGAGATTTTAGAAGAGAAAGAGCAGTTGTATTGTTGCTGGAGAGTTGTTGGCAGAAAGGGGAGATGAAAATCAAGTTGTCAATACTACAATCCCCTTTAGGCTCACGTATGCAGAAACCATGCATCTGATAAAACACTCTTGGTGTTGTAGCAAGGCCAAACAGGAGGAACATGAATGGGCAAATCTGAGAAACAGGCGAGAGCTGGCCATTTGAAGGTCTATTATTGCAAAGTGGTCTTCTCAATGCAGGAAGGAGAGGATAGTTGTAAGCATACTCATTTTGAACTTTGGGTTGCATGTAGTTTTTGTATGTGATATAGTGGTTAAGAATGTGGGACTGGGACTCAGGCAATCTGGATTCTAGTCCCCACTCAGCCATGGAGCTCAATGGGTGACTTTGGGCCAGTCACAATCCTGAGCTCCTTGAAAGGAAAAAGGGTGGGATATAAATGTAATAAATAAGCTACAGTATCTGGGAGAGGATGTTGAAAGCTGGATGGAAAAAAGAACAGTCAGAACATTACCCCTTTTGTGCCAGTTGTGGGTCATTGTTTGGTTTTTCTATTAGTGGAAGGCAAGAGACTGTTGAATTAGGTGAGCTGCCAGTGACAATTGTATGGGTGATGTTGAGTCAGGAAATTTTCTTGGGATAACATTTTGAAAGAATTTGACCAGAAAAGGAGGGCGCAGATGGAGTAGTAGGCTTGTTAAATCGGGTGGAGTAGAAAAGCCTGAGCCTCTAGTGATTTGGATACCCTAAAAGAGGATGTTGGTGCGTACAGAATGCATACAGGTAAGTAGTTGCAATGCCCTCTAAAAAGCACGCAGTTCTTGTACTCATGGGGGTGGGGGGCATCTGCAGTAGAGGGCCACCTGTGGCTTTCCCCACGGCATGGCATAATGATGCCAGCCAGAGGCCTTTGAAGAGGCTGAGATACCGGAGAGGTTCGTTGGGGTCAATAAAATCTTTGGTTTGGGAAGATTAGGTCCCAAGGCAGATAATACGGCTCTTCTTTGTGGTCTCTGTGACTCTCCCGTGCGGGTTATATGCCTGCCTCCAAAGCCTCCTTCAACATTCGTACTTGTTGTCGTGGGAAAAGACTGTCAACTGACAGATACTCAGACTGCGTACTGGGCCTCAAAGAAGCCCACGGAGCATATTCTTGTTCCCATTGCAGAACCTCCACCAAGCGGGCCAAGACAAACAGGATGGCACATTTCCAGGCCCTGCCTGGGAGCAAGCACTGCAGCTGACAGATGCAGCAGCTCAAAGCTGGCCCAGGCATACTGCTTTGGCTGCCCTTAGTGGAGAGCCACTTCTACTTCCTTTGCCAACTCCCTTAGCTAACATTATGGAGAGTGCTTCTGGGCATCACACGAAGACATCTGGTGGTCCAACGGTTCAGGAGTGGCCCTTCAGTGTCTGCAGTTGATATAATTAGACTGAACAGACCAAGTCCCAGAATAAGCGACCCAAAAACGACCAGGCTCTACCACCTACGAACAAGGAGATAAGGACAACTCGCTGAATCGCACCGCTGAACCTGAACATACTTCAGTAGCAGAATGATGTCAGAAACACTACTGTAGCTACCAATGCTTGAGCAAAACTACCAATTCCATGTAACCCACCACACAATATTCAGTGCTTCAGCTAAGTATCAGGAGGTGAATCCCCAGAATAACCTCTCACCGGAACAATACTATTATTCACAATAAAAATATCCCTTTCTGGAAGACCAGAGGTCATACCTGTAATTACTTCACAGTCTACAGTTTCAGGGATCTTGTGACTGTATCAAACCATTTTAAAAATTTGGCGTGGGGAGGAGCAGAGAGCAGATCTCAATGTGAGAGGTGGAATCAAAAGAACTGTGGTCCAAAAATCCAATTGTGCATGGCATATTTAGGAGATTTCTAATGGGTAAATGAAAACAGTTGAATATAGTTAGATGGCAAAATTACAAAGAAAGGCAGTATGATTTTTAGGGCTATTATTTAGTATAAGTCTTTTTAACTCAAATGCACTTAAGTGTATTGGATTGTGGCCTGTGTCTAAATTTGAACAGAATGGTTGCAGCCAAACCATTCTGAATAACTGATAAAATGCTTTAGAATCCACACCTTCATGTGACACCACAGCTTCAATTAGTGCCATGGTTTAAGACTTGATGCCAATGTTAAATTTTCCTGAAGAATAACTTGCACCTATTTTTGTTATTGTTGAAAATGAGATCTGTAGTCAAATTGACAAATGCCACAACACTTCATAAGGCTTACCTTGCCAGTTTTAGCAGCAACCAAACTGTTCTGCATTTTCATAGCTTCAATCACACAGATCTCCTGACCTTCTGCAACCTAGTGAAAGCAAAAATATTACATCAGAATGCTGTAAGACTATAATATAGCTTAAATTTCAAGAGAAAAATGTCCATTAAGAACAGAACATATAACGAAAATGGCATCTAATACCCTGTCTGCAGATCCTTTACTCTCTGGTTCAAAGTGATACTGTACTGAAAATACGATGTTCTCAGCTTTGATGGAGACATGAATCCAGATCCTATAAATATTAAGAGAGCAATCCTAGGTCCCTAGACAGCATCTAAGAGTTCATATGGTATTTCAAATTCCTAATTCCAAGGTTGAAGACAGAGCTCCAACTTCAGAGACTGGAACTGTAGCTCTGATTCTCTCCCCATCCCCTTTTCAATCAGCATGGAAATAACTGGTTTGGCTGTTCTCCGTGGTCAGGAAAGTGACCTGAAGGAGGGCATTCCAGGGAATAGAAAAGCGAGGAGACTGAAGAGCCAGGATATAAGTTGCCATGAGGCCTCCTTTGCTCCCTTTCCTTCTCCTAGCTGTTGCTAGATGGGTGAAAAGTCTGCCCAGTAAAAGTGAAGGTTGGGAGGAAGAGGAGATGGAGATCAACCACAAACACTGCTCTGTCTTGCATAGGATGACCATAAGCCTCCACATTTGGGGGCTTATGATCATAGTGATAGGACTACACCCTACATTCCTCATATTTAGGTAAACATCCCAGAGACCTTAGGATTCTGCAGTGTGAAGCCCTCCCTTGACCAGTGATGAAAAGCACAACCACCATAGCTGTTTCAGGCAGAAATGGGGTTTCCAAAAGGGGTTTTGTGTGTGTGAAGGGTGGATGCAGTAAGCTTTAGATCCACCAGAAACAGGGATCTTGTTGCCAGGACATGTCCCCAGAATATGGTGAAATTATGCCAGTCCTGGAGCTGGAATAGTTATTCCTCTTCCCATCGCTACAGCCAATGGGTGGGGATGGAGCGGTGAAAGAGAAGACAAACCAGCCAGGATCTCTGACACAGATTCTCTCTCTCCTGTCATCACAGGATCTCTAGGCTGGATTTTAACAACATCCAGGTCTCAGTGAGGTGTATGGGTCCTGACTATGAATAGGGCTGAATGCAAGTCTAGGAAAATCATGTTCTGGAACAGGGTGTCCCAGGAACATAAGATTTCCATTCATTCATTTGTTCATTCATTCCAAAAGCATGTTTTAGTATTTGGAGCTGTAAAGAAAAACTTGAAAGTTGTGTATGCAAGGGCTGCTGAAATCTCCTAAGAGAGATGACTTCATTAGGATAACCAGGTATCAAGGGGTAAAGCTTTAATGCCCTACATAGCTCTATGTCCTTCCTATTATTATGAGAAGCAGAATTATGCAGACCACATCTGTTTTCCACAGAATTTATAGAAGCCGTAGAATTCAGCACTCCTTGATACAGAATTTGGCTTATTTTCCTTCTAGGGCAGAATACAAACATGGCTCTGACATCAGCAAATACAGGTTTCAAATTTTGACCAAAACATGAAGTAAAAAAATGGAAAGTAACTTTTAACTTTAATGTTACATATAACTCTTGATAATCAAGTAATTAAGGTCTTTCGTAAAGGACATAAGTTCCAATGCAATTTGTGGATTTTAGTCCAAGTACAATGCAATCTGATACATGCCTACTCACTGTGTTCAATAGGACTTGCTCCCATGCATAAGATTTCAGTTTTAGGGGGCAATCCTTTGCATATTTAGATAGAAAGAAGCCCTACAACTCCCGGCATTCTTTCACTATCCACACTGTAGTTGCAGGACATTTTCTGGATAACTATACACAGGATTGGGCCTCGACTGCTGTCAGGAAAAGGATGTAGAAATACTTTCATATTACCTGACCTGAGCGAATGTTCACAGACAGCCAACCATTCAGGTAACTCACAGCATGCCAGTTCATTTTTTCTAACAGCTGTAATTCAGTTGTGTTTCCATAGTGGCAATACAATGATAAACTAAACCATACTTTTTACACAAAGCATTAATTGTGTGCTCATCATTCTTCACTCAAGGTACTTTGCAAGTGCTTTACACAACCACCTTTTCATCCTTCAGAGCCTTTCCTATTCTTTGCAGCCATTTTGTGGCTTTGTTTAGATTGAGGAAAGCTCGGTATGATCTATAAATGGTGGGACAAAACCTTTACATGTTTGCACAGTTCTGATGTACCACACTGCCACTTTGTGGTTGTGTAAAAGCATAAAGACAGTCAGAGAAAGAAGAATCCCATTAAACATAAAACATATATAAAGGATATATATATTTAATTATGTATGCATGCATGCATGCATATGCCTGGAAACAGAAGCCTCGGTAAATGGCAGGTTAAAAACTTATGTAGAAGAACCCCTTGTTGAACCACTGCAGTTGCTAGATCTTAACTAGTATTCCCTAGAAGATTAGGGGCATTGTGACAAATCTCTAACACACATTCTTGTTTCATCCCTTCCTATGAACCAAATCCACAGCTAAGTCTCCTGCTATACCACACTCATCATTTTAGATAAAACACTTCCACTCTTGCTTCGCCTCATGGATTCCCCTCCCAGAACACCTGTGTGTGAAATCTCCCCCGCCCCCCTTTCCTTCAAGGTATTTGTCAAAAACCATTTTCTTTTTGGTGGTTTTGGCTGGAATCTTAACCATCCTTCCCAACCAAACGAAAACCCATGAGCATCTGCTCATGTTCCTTTACATCCTTTTTACCTCCCCCTTCCTTTGTCTCTGATGCCACATGTGATAAGCACAAAATTCATCACATGAGGAACCATCAGAATGTTCTGCAAAAGATACATGCAGTGAAACAAAGTTGCTTATCACATGTGATGTTATATACGCAATATACAATATCGATGTGAAACCAAAAACAAACATAAAAAAGAAAATTTGTCATGTGTCATAACTGTCATAACTCACAGTTATAGCCCCGATGTAGAAATGCAGGTACTCTTTTCATTAAGATGACCTTATATGGCTGGCAGCCATGTGCGAATGGCATAAACAGGGCCACTTACCTATGTATTCCTATTGAATTAGCACTCCTTGTTCTAGAGAGAGTTAAATTCTGTACAGCCTATTTGTAGACTTAGCCCAATGCAACACAGACTTGAAATTGCATTGACATGGATGGGTTCCGGCATATTCAACTTCACTGGCCTATGAATTGTGCAAGCAGCAAACATGGTATCATGGCATTAAGGTAACTAATGAAAAAGTATCCTATCATCCTAATTTCATTTACTGATGGGCAAAATCTCTAGCCTCATTTTGGAAATGGCTTTGTATTTCCAAACTAGGCCAGAGAACTTTCAGAGAAAACTCAAGATTTTCCCGAGTTCTCGGGAAGCTTGGAAACATTAGATTCCACTAGCCTTCCATTCTTCCCAGCTGCCCTGTCAACATTTCCCTTCTTCCCCCACTCTTACAAGATATGTTTGGAAAAATAGGGAGGGAGGAAATCCTTTGCATGAACATGAACTAATTACAAGGCAAGGTTGAGAGAATTGGTTTGCCTCATCTCATTGGCAGGGGCTTTCTGAACTAGAATGTGTGTCTTCAGTTCCTAAATTCTACTTCATGGTTAGTTTGGCACTTCAACTCTGACAGCAACTTCTAAAACAGGGACTTGAGTGTATGCTTAATGCCTACATACATGACTGTTCACAGACCAACAGAATCTTCTGGATTTGGTTCATATTGTATGCTCCATTCCCACCCCCAAGCAACACTCTTCCAGAGACTCAAGAAGCTCTTCTTATTACCCCACAAAGGTTGCTTTTAAAGCTTATCCACCAAGACCGAGATTTGGCGGGTAGGTTCCTCTATGAACTGTGCACCCTTCACTGTGTATTTCTGCTTTTCTATGGGGCTGTAAACTTAACTATTATACAGGGTTAAACTGGGAAACGTATTTTAGAGGGAAATCTTCTAGTAAACCCTTGCAGAAAAATTAACCTAGTTAGTTCTCTACTTTAGAAGGAAACTTGTATTTCCGTAGATACCCAATGTTTAAATATTGAAACATTACTTCTAATAATAGTCAATTTGTTTAAAAAGGCTTTAGTGGAAAGTATCTTTTAAGCACCCACATTTAGTAATTGTTCTTTATGTCAATCCTTTGTAGCTTTTCCCCCTACTGTGCTGCAAAAGAGCAAATCCTAAAATTAGTCCCCAATATCTCTCCCTTTCCTCTTTCATTCATTCTCTTGGGCTTTGCTGATTTTCTTTCACTGTATAATTGTGTGTATCTTTTTGCCTGGCTGCATTATTTAAGCCGGAAAATGAATATCTAAGCGATCTCTAAAATATCCTCTTTCCTCATTTAAGGATTAAGTTAGGCTTGAAAAATTATTCAGTAACTTTTCTAAAGATATTAACCTGGAATAAAACACCCACATAGTACAGTCTGCAGTAATGAAATCCAGTTCTGATTAAAAATTCACTTTACAATTTAATTGCAGCTTTAGTGGTGACCTGAAATGGAAAAAGTATCAAATAAAACCCTCAGGATTCTTACTTAACTGAACCCACTGTAATCAATTTCATCCTTAAGTTCTTTTACTTCTAGAAAAGGCAAATTAAAAGCACAAAACAAAATGCAGATTTTCATTAAAATGGATTTTCTCTTCAGAAGAAACAAAATTGAAACTGCTGGGATTAAAATTAATATGAAAAATAATAATATTTAATTTCATTGTTCATTGACTAGGAACGAAACAGCATTTCATTCCAAAAATGAAGTGTAACATCAGGTAGTCAATGGCTTCTTGTATCACTTTAAAAAAAAAGATTACCATAACTTTTTACTTAAATAAAAGAAATTAGAAAATAAAATTTGGGTTTAGATTCAATTAATGTACTGTTTATACCAGAAACCTAAAGGACCTGCCTAGTCTTGAAGGTTATACACAGTGTGCTAAAGAACATGAGGCTTCTTGAACAAAATAATTCTGAGAAAATGGAGGAGCCAGGGAAGCAGCTACATTAA